TGGGGAGACAACTACTTGAGCCGGCATGTGCTGTTTCTCAGAGTATTTAGCAGCAGGAAGCTGGAATGGGAAGCAGAAACAGGCCTTAAAGCCATTTTGATATGGAATACGGGCACCCCAAGAGATGTCTTAGTCACTGCCAAAGGCCTATCCAAAGATTGTTTGTATTTTTGAAAGCATCTTACTCTGCAGTGGTTCTCAGAACAATTTACCAATGATTTCTTTCCACAAGTAGGTTTTGTCCCTTCATGTTACCAGCCTTCAAAATACTAACTGCTTAAGAATGTTACCAAATATTACTGGTATTTTTATTTGGCTACTCTTTTTTTTTTTAAGATCAGCTATTTTCAGCACTAAAAATATGAAATTATATTACTTTGAGATACATGTAAAATAATTTTGGCTTCTTTTTGGTGTTGGTTTTCCTGTTTGGAGGGAGGTAGGAAGGGTGCTGTTTTTGCTTTTCTGTCTGGCCCATATAATTTTTATGAATGTTTTACTTAAGCTGCTGGTTTCTAGTGTTCCTGAAGTTTAGGATATAAAAACAAAATTGTCAGATATTTATATAGTTTAGACGTAACACAATTAAGAAATCTTAGCCTTGAAACTAGGGGAGACCTTGCAGAAATATTATGGTGTCTTCCCTCTGCCAACCTCAATTTCTTGACATGGTTATCTTTTTTAAAGAATGTTAGGGTATTCTTAAAATAGTTATCGTGGAAAATGGGATGGAGATCTAGCTGTGCCTGCGTCTGTAAAATGTGTTTATGCTCAGTAAGCAGTCAGAGTGCGAAAAGATAGGCTTCTTTGCATTTTTGTATCTGAAAGAGGATTTTCATTTTTCTCTTTAGGATTTGTAAAAGTTTTAGCAGTTTGTGTGTTTATGTGTCAGAGGCTAAGTCCTAGGGGAGATATGGCCTTGATTTGCTACAAATCAAGTTTTTGGACTGTACTACTCGGTTTGGGTTTTGTCCATAACTTGGGTGGTTTTAAGCAACAGAAAATTATTTCTTAGAGTCCTGGAGGTTAGGAAGTCCAATCTTGGTGCCAGCAGATTTGATATCTATAGAGCGCTGTCTTGGTGGTTCATAGACAATACCATCTCATGGTATCATGTAGTAGAGGGGGCCTCTTACAGGAGCACTGAATTAAAGGGATGGTTCTCCACCTTCATGATCTAATCACATATGCCTCATCTAATATCATGGGGGTTGGATCTTCAACATGGATTTTCAGGCACAAACATTTAGATTATGGCACATACGTTTGTAGAATTAAGTTTTGTTAATGTTAAAGATGGTAAACTTGAGACTGGGAAACAGAGAACTAAAGAGTGCAATTTTCTATTTTATTTTTGTCTCTTTTTTTTTTTTAAAGAAACCTGAGGAGGTCCTTTGTTCTTTTTTTTTTTTTTTAAGATTTATTTTATTTTTATTGGAAAGGCAGATATACAAAGAGAAGGAGAGACAGAGAGGAAGATCTTCCGTTTGATGGTTCACTCTCCAAGTGACTGCAACGGCTGGAGCTGAGGAGCCAGGAGCTGAAGCCAGGAGCCAGGAGCTATTCTGAGTCTCCCACGTGGGTGCAGGGTCCCAGGGCTTTGGGCTATCCTCGATTGCTTTCCCAGGCCACAAGCAGGGAGCTGGATGGGAAGTGGAGCTGACGGGATTAGAACCAGCTCCCATATGGGATCCCGGTATGTTCAAGGCAAGGACTTGAGCCACTGGGCCCTCTCTTGTTTTTTAAAAGATTTATTTTCATTGGAAAAGCAAATTTACAGAGAAGGAGAGATGAAGATCTTCCTTCTGCTGGTTCATTTCCTAAATGGCCACAACAGCTAGAGCTAAATTGATACAAAGGCAGGAGCTTCTTCTGGGTCTCCCACACTGGTACGTGGTCCCAAGGCTTTGGGGACATTCTCTGCTGCCTTCTGAGGCCACATGCAGTGAGCTGGATGGAAAATGGAACAACTTGGACACAAGCAAGCACCCATATAGGAGGCCTGTGCTTAGAAGTGGAGGTGGAGAATTAGCCAGTTGAACACACACACTGGCACCTAAGGAATGAAATTTTTATTTGAAGGTTTTCCTTATTTTACATTGTTTTCTGCCACTGGTTTTCATTAGTATGGCTAATTGAGAGTGTATGGAAATCATCTAATATTAATTTCTTTAAGTTTATGCAAATAACAATTTAAGAACTTTGGACTGCATTTACTTAAGGTATTATCAAGAACAGGGGCTGGCAAACTATAAAAGGCCAGGTTGCAAATGTTTAGGCTTTCACTGGAGAGAGGCCAGATTTTCCACAACATTTCTCATGATAGAATGTAGTAGTAATTTGAGTGTAGTGTTCTCCCATACAAGTTTACTGCTAAGGTGTATGGCCTTTGTTGCAAAGGTATATAACATTTGATTTTTTGACGGTCAAGTTTATATTCCTTACTAGTCATTTTCAAATGTTCACCTGTGCTTACTGCATTTAGAGACTTCTGTTAGATTTTTTACATACCCCTTTTTAGTTCATCAACACATTGCAGTTACTCTTTCCAGTTGAAGGTTAACGTAGAAATTCCTCAGTTGCAGATTTAAATGAATTTTGAAATAGAAATTACCTTTGCTCTTATTGGGGTCCAGAAAAAGCACTTTTTTTATTGTAGGATTTTTGTTTTTTTGTTTGAGCAGCCGGTGCTCATACGGGATGCCGATGTCCCTCTAGTTGTGTAGATCTGCTCCAGATTGTTTTGGGAATGAAGTTTTTCTTAGGGGCACAAGAAATATATAAAACAGCCTGACAGTGCTTGTGCTGCGCTGTACTTGCTGTTGAAATTACATTCCACAGTATAAATCACATTTAGACGTTATTAGTTGTTAATAAAAGCTAATGTCCTAAGTTCATTATTTGATGATAGTAGTTGAAGGATGATTAGAGAAAAGAATTTAATCTTTGTTCTGAGTGCAGTAAATCACAATAAATCTTTAAGCCAACGTTAAGCCATCACAGTGCAATGTGCTTTTAAGTCCACAAAAAGTGAAAGTCACTGTGAACACTACTGATTCAGAAATACAATATATTCAGTTAGTTTTTGCAAAGTATCTGCTGATTAATATGATAATCACCATAGACTTACTTAAAAAGCCTTTATTAGCTCTGGAAAATTAATCAGTAGGTCTTTTTCACACAACTTTTTGCCATTTTAGTTGTAACACCTTTTAACAGATTCTGCTTCAGGTTATGCTGAATTGTTTCTCTACAAATCAAAGAAAGAATAACTGGTTGATCTTCTATCTGCTATTTCATTCCCTGAACTTCCACAATCAGTCATTGCTTTGCTAAGATGAGACCAGGAGTCAGAAATTCTTACAAGGTCTCCCACATGAGTGGCAGGGGCAGAAGTACTAGAGCCATCTTACTGTGCTTTTTCAAGTTCATCACAGGGTAATGTATGAAATATATCCATGCATTCGCATTTGTAAAATATATATTTGCATTTATATATATTGCAAAATTAGAGGTAGAAACAGGAAGATCTTTGGAAGGCAGCTATGCTCACCACTATACCGCCAACGCAGCAGGAGACAGGAAGATCTTTGATCTCCTGGTTCACTTTCAACATGGCTGCAATGGCTGGGGCTGGGACTGGCTGAATCCACGAGTCAGGAGCTTCCTCCGTTTGCCCACGTGGTCATAGGAACGTAAATACTTGGGCCATCTTCTGATGATTTCTGAGGTACATTAGTGGGGACCTGGATCAGAAGTGGCACAGCAGAGATATGAACCAGTGCCCATATGGGATGCTAATGTCACAAACTGCAGCTTTATCCACTATGTCACAGTATCAGCCCCAGAGTGATATTCTTAAAGAAGTTTATTTTCTCCAGCTTCTGTACTGAAACACAGTTTAACTGACTTGTCATCAGTAAACTGCCTTCCTTGCTTAGCCAGTATGTGACGCATTCACTTTGTTTGAAACCTCACTACAGGTTCTATTTTTGTGATTAAATATTTTACTTTAGGGGCCAGCATTTTGGTACAGGGGGCTAAGCTACTGCCTGTGACACATGCATTCCTTATGAATACTGATTTGTGTCCCAGGTACTCCACTTTTGATCCAGCTCCCAGCTAGTGCCCCTGGGAGAGCAGTAAATGATGGTCCAATTGCTTAGGTTCCTACCACCCATCTGGGAGACCAGTGGATAGAAGATTTTGTCTCACTCTCAACTCCGCCTTTCAGATAAATAAATATTTTTTAAAATATTAGGCTATTTAAATTTTTTTAATTATTTCTAATATCTCACCAGCTTCATAATTTGGGGGATCAATGTGTATTGTATTTAGCACAATTACAGTATCTTTGCATAATAAATACATTTTTGGCCCTCTAATCTGTTAAAAATAAGTTATCTACTGTGCTTTTAATCCTGACACTTATAGTCCACTTTTCACTTGTCATGAAGAGTACATAGTGGTAATTTGAAAAGTTAGAGTGGTGTTACAGCTGACACTTACAGTGCTTTCATGTTTCAACCTCATCATAGCAAATTATAGTACACAGAAGCAGTGCCAAGCAAGGGGGAGCATCACTTACATTCTTTCAAAGGCTCAGCTCTGCCATTATAGGACTGAAACAGCCATAGACAGTACGTAAATGAATGTGTATGGCTGTGTTTCAAGAAAACTATGTGAGATGTGAGTTTAACACATCACAAAATGCTTTCTGATCTCTTAGAGACATTCTTAGATTTGAAGGAAAATTAAAACAGGCAGCAATGCTAGACTTGGCTTAAGGGCTATAGTCTGCCAACCCCTGACCTAGTCTTTTCCTGGTATAGTGGTACAGTAATGCTTTTTAGGAGTTTTCCCGTTCTGTGAAATTGCATTCATTTGAGGTCTTAAACATTCCATGTCCCAACCTGTTTTCTGGATTTTCACATAATTAAAGCTTGTGTAGAAAAGCTACTGATGCTTGTTTTCAAGATTGGTCTCCTTTCTTCTCGTAGGTAATTTTCCACTTGTTTGGCAAGATGGAAAACTCAGATTCCAACGATAAAGGAAGTGGTGATCGGTCTGCAGCACAGCGCAGAAGTCAGATGGATCGATTGGATCGGGAAGAAGCTTTCTACCAGTTTGTAAATAACCTGAGTGAAGAAGAATATAGGCTTATGAGAGATAATAATTTGTTGGGCACCCCAGGTGTGTTGCATGTAATTCATCAATATAAATTGCCTGTTTTTTCTTTGAAAGTACTATTTTAAAAAGGTTTAGCAATTATACAAAATGGCCTATACTGCTTTGCTTAATATCTCATATCTGTATCAGAAATAGCATGTTAGACTTTTTAAGTTTCTCATTATGATGTTTTAGTGAACTGAATGGAAAAGAACGGAGCTGAACAAAGTCAGTTTAAAAAAAAACTATTAGACATGTGTCTTAGAATAACTAGTGAGAACTTAGGTTCTTCAGATAGACTTTTGTTGTCTCTGATTCCATGATTGCGTCCCAGTTGCAGTGCTCTAAAGCTAGCCGTGAGAAAATGGCAATTAGCAACTGTGGTCTATAGTGACTGTCTTTACCATACTAAGTCTCATTTGAGCCCGATTAAAATCCAGTATCTATCTTGCTGCTCATTTCTATTCCACTAATCCTGGGATGGTTGGTTATATTTTAAAAAGTAAGCTCTGGCATAAATTTTAGGAAAGGGGGAGCATTTTGAGCCAGTTGTACCGGACTTGAATCAACATGCTGTAGTTGGAGTTCTGGCTCTGCTATTCTTTGGAATGTTCTCTGGCCTGTCATTTTAAGTACTTGTCCTCATTAAAAAAATTTTTTTTTAATTTATTTTTGTTTTATTTGAAAGGCAGAGCGATAGATGGGGAGAGATCTTCCACCTGCTGGTTCACTCCCCAAAATGCTTTCAATAGCCAAGGTTGTGCCAGCCAATGCCAGGCTAGGAACTCCATTTGGGTCTCCCATGTAGATGGCAAGGAACAAGTACTTAGGCTATCATCTGCTACATCCCAGAATGTATATGGACAGGAAGCTGGATCAGAAGCACAAGACCTAGGAGGACTTGAACCAGGCACTCTGATATGGGATGCAGGCATCCTAGGAAGCATCTTAAGCTGCTGTGCCAGATATCTACCTCTGTTTACTGATTTTAAAATGCAGGTAATGATATCTACTTCTTAGAGTTGGAATTTTTTTTAAAAAAGAGGATTACATACAAAAAGTTGTATAAACTGACACTTATATATAGCTTCTAATTCTGTGCTCCCAAAGAAGTGAATTTTAGGTAGGTTCCTAATTTTAGTTTTTAAAAATGGCTAAGTTTTCACTAAAATTTTTTGCCATTAATGTGGACTGTTAATATACTTGATTGCCATGCCTGTAAGCTGAGGGGAGAGAGAGTATGAGTGAATGAGTGTCAGCCAAGAGTCATTGGTTTTCACTTGTAATTTAGAAAACATTTTGCAACTTTCAGGTGAAAGTACTGAGGAAGAGTTGCTGAGACGACTACAGCAAATTAAAGAGGGTCCACCACCACAAAGCCCAGATGAAAATAGAGGTATGTTTTTCTTTGGGAGATGGGTAGAGGGAGTGGAATGATGGGAACTTCATAATAGTAAATGTCAGCCAAAGATTATCCAGAAATGGCACAAATGATTTTGGTGCTAAGTATCTGGTCATAAAAAGAGAACTGGCATTTTCTTGATATTTGATGAGAATGTCAGTATGTCTTTTTCTTCCTCACCTTTATTATTTGTGTCAGTTGAGGCAGTGTGAAATAGGCCTTTTAAGTGTGGTCCTGTTTCTCCCCTCCCCGCACCGCCCCCCCCCTTTTTTTTTACCTGCACTGAAATTTTTTGTTGTTTAATTTTGTATTTATAAACATGAGACTTCACCAGCAAAAAGGAATGGTGTATTCTCTAACATAGCAGTTCTCAGTGGGGTGTAATTTTGCTGCTGGTGGGCTAGTGATATCTGAAGACATTTTTGGTTTATTGGAAGTTTGCTACTAGCATCTAGCAGGTGGAGAGCAAAGATGACTACAAATGTCCTGACATCCTATAAAGGATAGCCCCTGCTGACAGAAAAATTGACTGACTCAAAATGTCAATAGTCTTGCTATTAAGAAATTCTGTTTGCTTCATATCTTATGTTTTCCTCCTAGCATGAAATAGGAAATTTGACTGTGTAACCTGAAATGCTGTGAGAACTGTTTAGATATTTTAGAAAATATTTATTTGACAGGCAGAGTGACAGTGAGAAGTGGAGATGGGGAAAGAGATGGAGACAGAGACAGACAGAAAGAAAGCTATCTTAATCTGTTGATTTACTCCTCAAATATCTGCAACAGCCAGGACTGGGCCAAGCTGAAACCAGGAGCCTGGAACTCCATCTGGGTCTCCTCTGTAGCTGGCAGAGCCCCAAGCACTTGGGCTGTCTTCGACTGCCTTCCTTGGTGCATTGGCAGGGACCTAGATTGTAGCTAGGACTCAGACTAGTGCCTGAAGCAGAGGTTTAACTAGCTGTGCCACAGTGCCCACTCAAACAGATTGGTTCTTGAACATGCCATTATATATGACATGCCATGTTCAGGATGTTTATTTGATATGTGATCTCTTGTCAATTTAAAGATTGATGCTAAGAAATATTCAAGTGCTTGTAAATGGTAAGCATTTATATTTTTACTGTTACTAAAACTCTTGTATCTTAAAACAATTCCATGCATTATCAGCCACTCATGTCAAGAACCTAGAAGAAGAAATAGAGAATAGTGAAAATTTGAGGGGGAGGGGATGTGAACTCAAATATTGGCAGGTACCTTAACTAGAGCTTGCCTGGTTTGGTTATATTGGTGTTTTGCTCGTTAGCTTAAAAAACAACAACAAAAAAAATGTTGTCCATTGACAGTCCCACCGTAGCTTGCCCAGCTTTGTATATAATGAAACACTTGGGCAAAAGGATTATTGCAGATCCCCTTTGACATAAAACATCTAAATTTCTCTCTGAGATTAACTTGCGTTTTCAAAACGGGGTAGAAATTTTCTTGCTTTCCTTAACAAATTTATTCAATGTAGTTATGAAATGTGTTCTGACTTTTCAAAAAGTTCTTTACTACAAGATTTTGGAATAGTAGCGTGATTGCCCTAGTTTCAGTAGTTGCTTTTTCTCCTTTCCTCCCTGTGTTTTCACCAGGTGGAGATTCCGCAGATGACGTGTCTAATGGTGACTCTATAATAGACTGGCTTAATTCTGTCAGACAAACTGGAAACACAACAAGAAGTGGACAGAGAGGGAACCAGTCTTGGAGAGCAGTGAGCCGGACTAATCCAAACAGTGGTGATTTCAGATTCAGCTTAGAAATAAATGTTAACCGTAATAACGGGAGCCAAAATTCAGAGAATGATAATGAGCCATCTGTAAGACGTTCTAGTGGAGAAAATGTAGAAAACAACAGTCAAAGGCAGGTGGAGAATCCGCGGTCGGAATCCGCATCTACAAGATCATCCAGATCAGAACGAAATTCAGCTGAAGCAGTAACAGAAGCTACACCTACCAGAGGTCTGAGGAGGGCCAGAAGCAGGAGTCCCGACCATCGGAGAACCAGAGCCCGAGCTGAAAGAAGTAGGTCACCTCTGCATCCAATGAGTGAAATTCCACGGAGGTCTCATCATAATATCTCATCTCAGACTTTTGAGCATCCTTTGGCAAATGAGACTGAGGGAAGTTCTAGAACCAGGCACCATGTAACATTGAGACAGCAGATCACTGGACCGGAGTTGCTAAGCAGAGGTCTATTTGCAGCTTCTGGAACAAGAAATGCCTCTCAAGGAGCAAGTTCTTCGGATACAGCCAGCAATGGTGAAGCCACAGGATCAGGGCAAAGACCTCCAACCATAGTCCTTGACCTTCAAGTGAGAAGAGTTCGTCCTGGAGAATATCGGCAAAGAGATAGTATAGCTAGTAGAACTCGGTCACGGTCTCAGACATCAAACAACACTGTCACTTACGAAAGTGAACGAGGCGGTTTTAGGCGTACGTTTTCACGTTCTGAACGGGCAGGTGTGAGAACCTATGTCAGTACCATCAGAATTCCCATTCGTAGAATCTTGAATACTGGTTTAAGTGAGACTACTTCTGTTGCAATTCAGACCATGTTAAGACAGATTATGACAGGTTTTGGTGAGTTAAGCTACTTCATGTACAGTGATAGTGATTCTGAACCTAGTGGCTCAGTCCCAAGTCGAAATACGGAGAGGGCAGAGTCACGGAATGGAAGAGGGAGTTCTGGTGGTAGTAGCAGTTCTGGTTCCAGTTCAAGTTCCAGTTCAAGCCCTAGTTCCAGTTCCAGTGGTGAAAGTTCAGAAAGTAGCTCGGAGGTCTTTGAAGGCAGTAATGAAGGAAGTTCATCATCAGGCAACAGGCGAGAGGGTCGACATAGAGCCCCGGTCACATTTGATGAAAGTGGCTCTTTGCCCTTCCTTAGCCTGGCTCAGTTTTTCCTCTTAAATGAGGATGATGATGACCAACCTAGAGGACTCACCAAAGAACAGATCGACAACTTGGCAATGAGAAGTTTTGGTGAAAATGATGCGTTAAAAACCTGTAGTGTTTGCATTACAGAATATACAGAAGGCAACAAACTACGTAAACTACCTTGTTCCCATGAGTACCATGTGCACTGCATCGATCGCTGGTTGTCTGAGAATTCTACCTGCCCTATTTGTCGCAGAGCAGTTCTAGCTTCTGGTAACAGAGAAAGTGTTGTGTAATTCAGATCTGAACTCTAGTGATGGGCAAGCAGGAATCACTTGTTTTATGTCCACTTTTTGAGTGGTGCTTAAATGTTGAGTTACAACCTGAATTGAATCATTGCTTTCTGAAGGAATCATTGTTCGTTTTCCAGTTTTCTGTTCCAGAACACAAGAAAGTACTTAAAAAACAACACTTTAGGACCTAACAATCTGTTGTCAGTACCAGCTGAATTGATAGCATCTGTACTGATAAGGTTTCATACCCCGTAAAAGAGAGGGGTGAAGGAACTTCCCGCTTCAGGCTAAATGACAGTACATGTTTCATAAGTGATTACTGAAAGCCGGACCATTCCCAGTTACTGGTTGATAAAATTCAGTCACATTCTGAGTATTGTTTTTTCACCTCTCAGACTAGGTGATACTGGACATGTCAGTGTAAATAACACTAAGGTTAGAGTCCTTTAAGTGTATAAACTGTCTCCTTAAGCCCATCACTGTGGCACACTGTAGAGTGAGCTTATAGTTTGAGATATTTATCTTGTGGAAATATTAAAAAGCCTATGCTTGTGTAAGTGAAAAAAAAATCACATTCATTTGTTTAAAAAATGTAAAGCTATTTTGTAGAGGCTCAGTACTTTTTCCAATGCACTGTTGTATTAATGCATAAAAAAATTGTAAAGTACCATGCTTAGAAATGAGAGAACTGCTTTTTGTGAGCCGACATAGTTTAAAACACACACACACACACACACACACACACACACACACACACACACACACAACAAAGTACAAAGCTGCTTTTGTAAGTGTGTAGGCGTCAAGAGCAGAACATATCTATAATATTTAATGTATGTGAACAGCTACTGTGACATGCCTAGAATTAGGCAACACAGAGTCAAACTGCGTTAAAGACCAACGGGAATTGTTTATCTTGAATTTAGGCAGGAAATGACAGATTGGAGTAAAGAAAACTGCTCTGAGGAATTCAAAGTTTTCATGAAGACAATAATACTGTAACTGCTGACCTGGCATTCTACGGGAACAGATGAGGCAGAGCAGCAGGACTCTGGTTTTAGAGAGACAAACCACTACATCAAATTAAATTGGTGTTTCTGCAAGTCTGCTCCTCAGACGGTGGAGGAAAGAGACTACAAACCACTTTTTGCATCAATTGCAATTGGTACAGATGTGTGCACTCATAGCAAGGTCTCGGATTTGCAGTTTTCGAGATTTTTGTCCTTTAAGGTACTAGTGCACACTTCCTAATATTTCATTGCAGTCTGTGTAATGCACATTTGACGTCTCACATGTAATGACCAGGTCAATTATGGGATTTTTGCCTTTCCTTGAAGATGTATCATGTTGACTTAATTGAAATTCAAAGTTTAATTGTGTCCATATTTGAAGATGAGACAGTTCACTTGCTATGGACAGGCACTTTATGTTTTCTTAGTAGTAAGAGTAAATAATGTTAACCCCAGCATTTTTTTGCCTAATTTCCTTTCTTAAGGCTGGCTGGGGTTAGTCTGGAGCAGATACTTGTTTCTCTGGGAAAAGCCAACAGGCCAGAAAAGGACTTGAACATGTCCTTGGCCTTTAACAAAATGAGCTAATTACCCAGACTTGGATCTTCAGAAAATAAACAAGACTGCTTTAATAGTTGTTAACCTGGCTACCTTCACTGTTAGCAACTTCACTGTAAAGATTATTTCAACATTCATTATCATGTTTTCTTCTCACTTTCAATCCTACCTAAGTATCAAGGAAATTAACCTGTAAATATAGTAGTTGTTTACTATAACAGATATGTACTGCTCTTGCAAGGAAATAATGTTGAAACAAAGCTTCACTTATTTTTTTTAATATAAGCAGATTTCACTGTTTATGGCGCTTATGTAATACATTTTATCTTTTAAAAAAAATTGTCCATGCAAAAGTCAGGATTCCTTTTATATTGTGAGCCTCCTTGTCTCCTTTCCTAAGGGTGTTATCTAAGGTTTCAGATCTGCAGGGTAGTCCCGATTGGCTAAAAAAAAAAAAATCCATTTTCCTCTTGGTATAAAAATATTCATTTTGAATAGTCTAAAAAACATTTGCAGCACATTCTATGTATAAAAGAAAGTTACCGATAACAGGTACCTCCCTAACCTCCCAAAATGTATTACTCCTTTGTGAAGTATTAAACTAAGAGGTAACTTGAGCAGAATGCTGGTTCTGAATGTAGATATTCAAGCTACTCATAAACACTGGAAATAGACTTTTTAATGTGTTTAGCCTTCAGTAGAATGCACATTGAACATGTGCGTGTGGACACCTTTTTCAATAGCACTCAGTAATTGCCGTTGGGTTGTACAGAATGGACACAAACATTTTAGTGAAATTTGCTACTTAATTTTTCCTTTTGCTAAGTCTATGACTAAAACATACTAGCGTTGTGGACATTGGAGATAAGGTCCTTTTGTAGGTGTCAGATGTACAATGGAGAACAAAAAAATCTTTTTTCCCCACCAACATCCAAACACCTATTTTTGAAGGGAGCATTTTCCTGCAGGAGACTTTACATTTCATTTTGTATCTTTGCACTTTTACTTTATTACAAAAAAGTCTGTCTCTGAGACCTAGTTTGAACTTCATGCAGTAAATAGGAACAAGAAAAAGCAATGTTGAGACATGACATTGTTCAAAGCATAGGGGAAAGTACCAAAACCTGAATTTTCTTGGGTATTTCAGATATCTTCTAAAACTCCACTTTTACTGGTCTGAAATGTTTGTTTTGTTACTGAACTCCAAGCAGCTGGCAGGTTGGGATTAATTAGTACTAGAGACAAAATTGAGCAAGTTAAGGATAGCAGTTCGCAGACTTTGATCTGTCGCAACACTAGAAGATGAGCCATGTTGTTGATTTGGAATATTTGCTCTAAAAGGAACACAATAGCTATACCTCAGTGGTATTCATGGAAATTGGGATTTTGAGAAAAGTGTTCACATTTGTGTTGGAATGTAGACAGTTCACCACAACAAAACCCTTTAGCACCAGGAGTCATTTTACAAACACAAATACACATTTCAGAACTGATTGTTTGAATTCATTCAAGCTTTAGGAAACTGGTTAGCTTTAAGTGTTGCCTCAAGTAATGGTTTTTCTTTCCTCACCCTTTCTGTTTAAACACATCTGTACTGTGCCAAGAATTCTCTCCTAGTGTCAGTGTCTCAAATTATATTTAGGAGGGGTTATCACTGCTTTGTATTTAGCCACTTATTTCCCAAGTGTCCACAACATGAAATGGATCAAGCATCATCCATGACATCAGTGGGTTCACAAGATAACCTATGTGACGAGGGGGGGTCAAAATGCCTCTAAAAGGCACCTGTGGTAATTGATATTTTTCTTTGAAAGGTGAAGGATGTTTTTATTCTTGCCCCCTTCTTTTGTGTATGGAAAAAATGTTACCTACCTTACTTAATGTCTTAAAATTTTGCATTTCTGGATTCCCAGTCTTTTGCTGACACTTAAGTACGTGGAAGCCAAATTCACTGGGCACTTTCTTTCTTATTCTTGTGAGACTATACTGATAGCTGCTTTTCTGAAGTATTCTGAACCTAAATGCAGGAACTCAAGAAAGCACATGTCAGGTGTGGTGTTTTTTTTTTTTTTCTTATGATTTTGTTTTTTAGTATGCTTAGCATTCAATAACTTGTAATTAATTAACTAGTGATTTTTTTTGGTATTCTTTTGAAAAGAATTGGAAATGTAAATTGATGTAACATGCTTCATTTGGAAAGTTGAAGTGTGGAAGTTCTGAGGAGGTATTTCACTACATTTTCAATTGGACATCAGCTGAAACAGCTGTGAGTTCAGTCCCTGTGCTTGACATTTTTTAGTGTTCTGAAATTAAGAAAGATTTTCCTTCACTTGGACGTTTCTAAAAATAGACAATCCCTACAGTGGACCGATCTTATTTAATTAATCCTTTTTGTATGTAAAAGTAGAACATAGCACAGTTACTCCGGGGTCTCAGAATGCTCAAAATTTGTGAATTTTGTCATTGTTTTCCTGTTGATGTGGTTTCAGTTAAGTCTGAAGGAAACAGGATACCCTCCATCCAAAATTATAGTGATATACTTGTTTTTTTAATTGGAATTTGTTTTACCATGAGTTTGCTAAGCTACGTTATGGTCACTTGGGTTGAGTGGTGGATACCTTAATGACATGCAGTGAATGTGAACCCAGTCCTACCACTGTGCCTCATTTTGTCAAGGTTCGTCTGTCAATTCTTTATCTTACAGATTGATTCCAGTAGCAAGGTATGGTCGAACCAGCTGCCCAGCCTTAACTCTAAACCCTGTTACTGACATTCTTTTAACTGATTGATTTGTGTATTTTAACTGTCCCATGTTTGGATTTCAAGTTGAGTAGGTATGCAGTTGGCCTGGTTATATATCTGTGCCTGTTTAATCTTCTCCCAGGAAGTGCTGCTTTGGTATGGACATTCACTTGGATTCATGTAAAGAACTGGGCAGCAATCTTGGAAAGCTTTCTTTCTGAAGCCTTTAAGAACCTGAAGGGATTTGAAGGGGAGGCAGTAACAAAGGTTGCTTTTATGTCTTTGAACATGAAGCACATAAATGTAGTTCTGTAAAGACTAAAGTGATTGTGATACCAGGGCTTCCTGACCTGGGAGAGACTGCACAAAGCAGAGAGGAGCACAAAATGAAATTAATTTGGTTGGCGTAATTTATCTGGTTTCTCATTTTCTTTCAGTTTCAATCTGGACATTATACCCTTTTCCAATATCTGTATCTAGCAGACTCCTGGTTGGGAAGCCCTGTGTTAAATCTTGAGAATGTACCCAACTTTCCTCTTTTTTTTTTTTGTACAGTGCTTTACAACTGCTAAAAATTAACTTGTTTAATGCAAAATAAGACCTTGAAAGGTCAGTCATATTAAAGCTGGTTTGATTATTAATAGTTATCTTTTAGGAAGAAGCTTTTTCCCTATGTAAAATGTCATACTGCAGATTTACAATATAGACTATCAATAAAATGCATGAAGTGATCATTTGGTTTGATCATCTTGAGTTTTTCTTTCAAAAGGGAAATCTGATAAAGGGTCTGCTTCAAAACAATATTAAAGAAGCTTGTTAGACCCAAGTGCAATTACAGTGCAATTCTGATTTTGAGCCCCCATTTACTGCTGTGAGTATGGGCAGTTAATGGATTATGTGAGAATTCCATTTTATTAGCATAATATAGCATAATATCAAGACTAGCCCAATCTTCGATAAAATAAGACAAGCAGTATTCTAATACAAGAATTTCAGTGATATTTTCGGTAGATGCGTCTTTGCTGCTCCTTGTAGTCTCATCATTGCCCTGAACTTGCTTGATCCTCTGTGCCCAAACATGTAGGGATGCATGTTCCTTCAGCTTCTGTCTTCCATCCCTACACCCACCTCTTAAAATATGCTGCTCAAACGACGAAGGTATCCAGTCTCATTTTGTGAGACTTCCCCTTAGTATTCACTTCACTGGTAAATGAATTTTATTATATGATGACCTTTTGAAAGTTTGTGGGAAAATGGAATGAAAGTGTTTATTTTGGTATGAGAGATTTTTTACATGTATGCATAGATTTTTCATAATAGGCATTTTCCACGAGCTATGTATTAGGTAGGAGAGAAATCTCATCCACTAGTTTACTTCCCAAGTGTTTGTAATGGCATCAGGCCTGGCATTTGAAGCCATGAGCCAGAACTCAATCTAGGTCTCCCATGTGGGTGACAAGGATTCAGGTTAGCCAAGCCAACACCATTATCTCCCAGGGTCTATTTTACCAGCAGTCTGGAGTCAGGAGCACAGCTGGCTGAGCCTTTAACCCACTCATTCCAATATGGAACACTTACTCCCATGAACTTTTTTTTTTGAAGATTTATTTATTTGAAAGATACTTTCCATCTCCAGATGGCCACAAGGGTTAATGCTGTACCAGGCCAGATCCAGGAGGTTTTTCTGCATCTCACATGCATTACAGAAGCCCAGACACTTAGGCTGCATGCTTTTCCCAGAGGGAAGTGAAGTAGTCTGAATTCTTAATGGGTGTCCACTTGAGATGCTGGTGCTGTACCTACCATATAAACTATTAAAATTCCCTAGTTGAATTTCCTTTGCTGCCTAGTGTTGGAACTCAGTTCCTCAGGGTAGTTTTGGTGGAGTCTGTTCACAGCCTCCCCAGGTTTTAGTTTTAGTCCTCATGATCATATTGAGCAACAGCACTGGATAATCCGTACAGTGTGAATCAATGCCTAGGCATTTTAAGACCCTGCAAATGTCTTACTAATAACTACATTTTAAAAAGTAAACTTGTGATTACAATCAGACTTTGTATTAGGTAGGATGGTTTATTCTGGTCTTCACAGTGACTGAGGCAGAAGTGTAACCACTATTGTATTGGTGACACAGTTGAGAAATAGATATTTGAATTTACCTGTAGTTATATGATGGATGGCAGTGTATTGCCATGCAGATCTTTGATTTTGGAGTCAAGGTTTCTTGGGATTTTTAGAAAGAGATATATTTGCACACTTATCAAGAGGAGAGAGAGATCTTGCTGGTTTACTCCCCAAATGACCACAATGGCCAGGGCAAGGCTGAGCTGAAACCAGAAGCTTGTGGGTATCCCATATGACTAGCAGGGGCCCAAGGTACTTGGGCCATCTGCTGCTTTCCCAGGCACACTAGCTGAGAACTGGGTTAGAAATGGAGCATCCCTTCTCTGCCTTTTAATTAAGATGAAGTACAGAAGTAGAGCAGCTGGGATTCAAATTGGCAGCCATGTGATACCCATATGGGATACCAGGTAGCAGTTTTACCTAGTCCATTTCTTGGTATCTTAATCCCATTGCTTCTATGGCCTCTAGGTTGTTTTTGTTTTGTTTTGTTTTGTTTTTCTCCCCACTACGCTCTAGACTATATTGCTTATAAGGTATGTTTTCTCAGAAATTACGTTAGTTTGGGCTGTTTTTGGTAAAGGAAAATTAAAAGGACAAATCATTCCTTCTGAGGACGATTAGAGGCCATGTATTGTAAATTCAGCAAATCACTTTGCACGTTACCAACTGTACCTTAACCATGAGTAATGTCAGCCTTCATTTTAGAAGGTTGCAAATCTTGTTCCCTGGGGTAAAAATTATCAAGTTGCTTTATTTCCCAAAGTTTTTTTTTTAAGTAGGCTGAAATAATATTGGGAGAGTCTTGATTTCAACCCTTTATTCTTCCCTTGGCCCAATTACAACTTGGTCTGAAATAGAAATAGGTTAGAAAGAATTGCAGCTGGATTCTTTAAGCATTCAGCCAGCTTATTGGCTTCCCCTTCAATGTACTTTACACTTAGTTGCCTTGGACAGCCATAGGCATCACAAAAGTGTTATTGTTCAGAAGATACTTAGGTTAGGACGTGCTTAAATTGCTTTCATGACCGGTTTTATAAGCTGCTGAGAAACAGCTCTACTCCGTTCACTTTGTCACATTTCAGATGAATCTTGGCTGTTTCAAGGACTTACCATGTTCTCAGTAGATGCAGATTTGCACTCGTACACATGCAGCGATCTACTGTACATTTTTAAAATATATTTTTATTTTGAATTCTGCATTATGTGGTACAATTTCGTATAGGCTGGGATTTCCTCCCCGCCCCCCAAACTCCCACACCCCTGTACATTTTATTTTAAAGTGTTTTGGGGGCCTTGCACAATAGTGTAGTGGTTAAAGTCTTCACCTTGCACGCCCGGGATCCCATATGGGTGCCA